TGCTCTGACTCGGCGTCCACCTGACGTCCCGTTGGCGTTTGCGTCGGGCTGCGCGTCTCCGTCAGCGTCGCCGTGTGGCTCAGCAGCGGCGGGGCAGGCGTGCGGTTGCACCCGTCCACGTGCGGCAGGTACACCGGCAGGCAGTCGCGCCCGTACCCGCCATCAGCACAGCGGCAGCGGCACGATCCCGACATCGCCCTCGTCGCAGCAGCAAAGCAGTGCACGTCGGCGTCGCACACGCCACACGCCACGGGGCGGAATTCCCCGATGATGCCGGCAGACCTGTAGTCCATCGGCTGCAGCGCCTGCCCGTTGAGCGTCAGGCACCCCACAACGAACCTTCGGCCGGCGCCCCCAAGCGTAACGGTGCCGTCCATCACGACGGACCCGCTGCCGGCGTTCCCGTGGAGCGTCAGCGTGCTCTGCGCAAATTCCGCGCTGCGCGGGTACGACGGCACCGACAAAAGCCTGCCGCTGATGCTGTTGCCGCGCACCGACAGCCACGACCGGGACGCAAACGATGCCGACCCCCGCAGCTCCAGCAGCGCGCCATCGGTCAGCGCACCGACGTTGTCATTCACCACGACGGCGGACGCGTTGGCCTCCACCCCGCCGTCGAACACCAACCCATGCGCGGCGTACACCTGGCTCCCCGACACGCGCAGCACAGCGCCCCCCGACGCAACCACGCGCGCACTCGCGTACAACGCATATTCGCCACCGAACACAGCCGCGTCCAGTGCGACACCGCCACCGACAAGCTCCAGCACGGCGCCGTCCACCACCACCGTCCGTCCACCAGTCATCACGGTCACGAGGGCCACGCCGAACACAACCAGCACGGACCGCACGAGCCGCAGGCCCGACAGCACCAGCACCGGTGCGTACGGCGCAGACCGCGAGCCGGGAAAATACACAAGCGGCGTCGACCTCGCGGCAACCAGCAGGGAGTCCGTCACCGTCAGCACAGACCCCGCGGGAAACGTGCCGGTCAGCACAAGCGCACCGTTCAGCGCCTCCACATCGCACACCGACAGCTCCACCGGCCCGCTCTCGTCGCTCCCCGCCGCACCCGCACCGCGCAACGCTCCACCGCCCATCACGTACAGCACAGCACCGTTCAGCAGCGACACGTTCTGCACAGCGATCCGCACGCCGTCCCGCGCCATCCACGGCACGTACAGCACAGGACTCACGCCGTCCAGCACAACGTGGCGCAGCGTCACCTCGCTCGCGCCGGCAGGCACAACGAACACCGACTGCACCGTCACGCCCTCGCGGACAAACACACTCGACGCAGTGCCCACAGCGGGCGGCAGCGCGGGAGCTCCCACAGGCACACACGCCTCGCCGTACCCGCCGCTGCCGCACGCGCACACGCACACACCGTTCTTCATGCTCGCCGACGGCGTCCCGGGCGCGTAGCAGTACGTGTCCCTGTCGCAGGCGTCGCACCCAACAACGTCGATGCTCCCAGCGTCGCCAAAACCGGCCGCTGCGTACTCCTCCGCCGTCGACAGGACACGTCCACCAACGTCGTTGCACGCCACCCTCAAATGCGCCCCAGCCGAGAGCGACAGGCTCACCGACACCATCCGCGGCAGCAGCGCTCGGTTGCGCACAAAGCTCAGCGTGCCCCCAGCAGCGGTCACGGCGCCAGCGGCGTAGA